TTAAGATTTGATGTTGCCTAAGTCTCTGGTTTGCCAGTTTGCTGGTTGAAATGCGTTAACCTTGAACTGAAAAACTGACAGCGATGACCCAATCCAGTGACACACACCGAACACAAGTTGTAGAAACGAAAACCAATGCAGCAATGTAATTTTCTTTGTAAAGATTGAAGATGGCAAACGGCAATGCAAAAGTTAGATATCAGTTATTATAGCAAACGATTAACAACGTACATAGAACAACAAAATCTGCAACAATATAAAATCATACAACTATAAAGTTTGTCTAATGAAACCCATATGAGCCAGAAACCCACAAAATTTAGCATTACTAACCCTAAACTGAGATAAGCGCACTTCACATCGAAAATCCCAGAAAGCAGCTGAGCAAAGCCCCGGATGTAGGACCATAATTCCAAGATCAAAATCAGTATGCCAAAATCAGTAGACCATAAAAAATGCGATATTAGGCTAGCGTGAACATAACCGGCCCCAGGAAATTATTCAAATTTCAGGGAAACTAAGAATCATTTACCAAACACAAGCAGCTAGCCCAAAACACTTGGCCCCCAAAACGGTGTAATTATACAATCAAGCTGAATAATAGTAAAAATGAAGAAAATATAAATATCAAACAACATCATTCACTACCCTCAGTAAGCACAGCCGTCTTACATCCCGCATAGCACTAGATGTAGCAGTTCTAATTTCGACCCTACGCACCATGCATCACCATCCGGAAAAACTTTCTCAACAATGGCCTTAGGCCAAGAACCACGCGGGTAAATTCTCATTATGAACAAGAACCAGATCACAACTTCAGATTACGACAGACAAGGTCCACTTCTTGGCGAGACTGCAAGAGGGGCAAATACTCCTTGGTCCATCGTGACCAAACATATCCAATAGACGTTGAACACTGCGCCAACAATCCCTATACTCGTCAGTTTTCAAAATCGATCGGCAGGGAGGGAGGTGTCAAGACAACCATGCAAAATCGCACTGGGCGACAGGGCCGCAAAAATCTCTACAATCATCGCTCAGTGGCGTGATTGGCCTATCATTCAAATTCTCTCAACGCCTGTGAGAAATGAAATAAAGGGAAAAATCTGTCAATGTTCGTCTTTCTACAAGAGCATACAAAATACGTTTAGTTAAATGAACCATCTTTTCCGTAACACTATTTTGCCAAGGGGCGGAAGGAGGACTATGTCCCATTTATTCCCTTCCGTGCCAATTCACCTTCAATACGGGTAGAATCCAAATTGTTCATTGCCTTGAGCCAACACATTCTTTGCACCAATTAAATTTGAACCATTGTCACAATAAATAAGTGACGGAGTATTCCTACGATCAGAAAAACGAAACAAAGCATTCAAAAAGGATGGTGTATCCATCGACTCAACACACTCAATATGACAAGCTCGCGTGGCTAAACATGTAAAAATACAACCATAACGTTTCAACTCACGCCTACCGCATTTAACCTTGAGTGGGCCAAACAAATCTACTGAACATTTATCAAAAGGAGTTCGACCAGGTTCAATCCTAAATTTAGGGAGAGGTGCCATCCATTGACTACTAAACTTTGCCGAACGTAACTTGCAAACCATACATTTGGCCAATATTCGCCGAACCTCAGACTGACCTCTGAGGATCCAAAACTTTCCTCTTAGAGCAGATAATGTATGCAAAGTACCACAATGACCCTCCCTGCAATGATACATATGTACAATCAACTCAGTGACATGATGACTTTGGGCAGAATAATTGGGTACCTCTGACTGTAAGGCAAATTGGAATGCTTCAGTCGTCCACCAACTCGCCACACATGACAATTTTCATCAAAAAATGGATTCAACTTCAACAATAACTTCGAAGAATTACTCGTGGATGGTTTCAAATTGCTACTTGAAGGGGGAAACTATCATTCACTCGGGAACCCAACTGCAACAAACTAGGCGAGATGGAATCCAACTGAACCAGACTCATCACATTATGCATAGCAAATTCCAACTCATCAACACTCAAGTTTCCCACAGGCGGTCTTGGACCACTGCGAAACTTCCATTTCATGTATGCTTTAAAACGGAGCAACCACCCAACACTTTGGCACAATTTTTCGAAACAAGAGAAGCGTTTGAGCAAATCAAAAACAGAGGCAAATTCATTAGAACTTGTAGAGACAAAATTAATTTTAACCTCAGAGGCAAAATTATCGTCACATTTCACAGAACAAGGTTTGGGCCAATGAGAGCGATCTAATTTCAAAAATTCTGGGCCGGCAAACCAAACAGACATTTTTGGTAGATGTTTGGGCATAACTCCTCGAGATAGAACATCCGCAGGATTCAATTCAGAGCTCACATGAAACCAAGATTCAACTTTAGACAATGAATGAATTAGGGCAATACGATTAGAGACAAAAATTTTAAACCTTTCAGAGCGATTATTAATCATTTGCAAAACAGACATACTATCGGTCCAAAAATAGTAGGAACACATCTCATAGTCCAATTCTCTTTTGATGGACTGGGACAACTCAGCAGCAACGACAGCTGACATCAATTCTAAGCGGACAACCGTGATAGGTCGCTTAGGTGTAATTCTTGATACACTTTTCACAAATGAAACATGAACAGAACCATTAGCATCTATGAAACGTAAATACGCAACCGCACCATAACCATCTTGAGAGGCATCACAAAAACAATGCAATTGTATATCAATTGGCGTAAAACCAGGTGGCTTGTAACATCTAGGGACTGAAACATCATTCAAGATTGGCAACTGTGAAACCCAATTCTCCCATCGAACCTTATGACTATGACAAATAGTATCATCCCATGAAAAATCCTCACTAGACAAATCTTGCAATATACGCTTAGCAGGCAAAACAAAAGGTGAGACTAGGCCAAGTGGATCAAAAATAGACGAAACAGCACTCAATATACCCCTACGAGTTGCTTGCTTTGGTTCAATATCCACACACACTTTCAGTTCATCCGGCCCCATATTCCATTTCACACCAAGGGCGTGGTGAACACCAGACCCATTCAAATCCAAACATTTCAGTGAGGGAGCAAGTTCCGAATTAGGAATTGATGAATTAACTTCACTTGAATTACTAGCAAATTTTGTCATATGAAACCCCTTTGTTTCAGTCAATTCACACAATTGATTAATCAAACTAATAGCTTTCTCAGACGACTCGCAACTTTTCAAAACATCATCAACATACATATTTCTCTCAAGTGTTTGAACAGTGTCAAAATCAGCACCACTCAAATTATCATCAGCAACCTTTCTCACAGCAAATGTAGCAACACAAGGACTAGACACACAACCAAAAAAAGACGACATTCTATACTCAAGGACAGGTTTTGTCATGTCACCATCCTCAAACCACAAAAAACGCATGGAATCACGGTCAATAGGGCTCACTTTAACTCGGTGGAACATATGCTTGATGTCACCAGTGAACGCAATGGGTTCTTGACGGAAACGCAACAAAACACCCAATAGGCCATTATTCAAGTCGGGACCCGAAAGAAGGTTCTGGTTCAGAGAAGTGCCTTGGAAGACACTGCTACCATCAAAAACTATTCTAAATTTTCCCGATGTGATCACAGCATGATGGCAAATATAAAAAGTTCTATCAGTATGTGAAAAAGCATCAGGGCATAATTCGGCATAACCATTTTCAATATACTCATTCATTTTAGACCTATACATACAGAAAAAATCATTATCAGTTTCAAAACGACGTTTCAGAGACCTTAATCTGGTCTCTGCCATTCTTTTATTGTTGGGAAGTTTGACGTTGTCACTCTTCCACGGGAGTCCTATTTGCAAACGACCATCAACAGTGGTGGTCGTTTTTTCCATAATTTCAAGAGCTCTCTTGTCATTGACAGACAAACCAGTTAAACATGGGTCACAATTAATATCAGCAAATTCATGGGCACAAACTTTACACATTGGAGCACTGAAACTATCACAATCATTGACAATAGGATTGGAAATATGAAAAACACAATTAGCATTAGAAAATGAATCGCACACTTCTTCGGTTTCTGAGTTTCCATGCAGAATATCCGGACCAAACAGTGTCCAACCAAAAATTGTATGACATGCTGTAGGAGCATTGTCATCGCCTTGCAAATATTCTGTTGGTGGATATCTGGAAAGAACATCAGCACCGATCAAAAGATCAATGTTATCAGCATTCAAGTTACAAAACTTCAAATTAGACAAATGTGGATATTTTGCAGTAATATCATTGCTTGGTAAAGAACCTCTTAAATCGGGAAGAGCGTCTAAAGCCAAAACATTATCTAATCTCACAACCGTTGATTCCCCAATTCCCTGTACTTTGAGGTTTACCCTGTGGCCAATATATTGCCTTGAGTCATTTATACCATTAATCAAACAAGATTCAGAAGAACCAGAAATATTCATTCTATCTAATAAAGACTTGGAACAAAATGAGCGAGTAGCTCCATGATCGAGAAAGGCATACACTTCAATTGATTTTTTCATGTCATTGAGAAATACCCTAACAGGTGCAACTTGAAGTCTAACATAGCAAACATTTTTATTGACTGAAAGAGATGAAAAAATGCTATTACCGGCCCCATGTACTGTCGCAGGGACTGACTGATTATTTCTGTTCACATGACCAATATGGAGCAACGTATGATGACGAGCACCACATCCTTCAGCCCTGCATCTACTTTGCGAAGGGCAACTACCAACCATATGGTTGGGCTTTAGACAGTTATAGCATAAACGTTGAACGCGAGCAAAATTTCGACGAGACTCAACAGGCTCCACCATGAATTTTTCACATTTATATATGGAGTGATAGTCTTTACAAAACAAGCATTCTGGAAGAGTAGAGCTGGGAACGGCATCGGATGCTTCAAGTTGATCGTCAACGGATGACGAAACTGCAGTGTAAATTGCATCCCTTGTTCGATTCTTAGCAATTTTATCAGATACCCGAGCAGCATTTTTCATGTAAGACGCTACACAACAGTCAGATGTAATCCGAGCTACTCTGCAAGCAAAGTCTACCAAAGTAGCAAACGTTGACCTTTTTGAAGAAGCTAAGAGCTCCGCAAAATACATTCGTTGAAGATCTTCTGGCAAACGTGCAAAAATTCTAGTTAGAAATTCACTTAAATCCATTGCATTTGCTTTTATGCCTTTAAAACTGCAAGGCATGTTTTCAATTCAGAAGCATATTCCCGCAATGCAGACAGATCATTCATCTTTAGTACACGGCCCTCAGTTAAACTCTTACGATAAGCTTCAATAACTTGATCGTGGCGACCAAATTCCTCTTTTAGGCCATTCAAAGCAGAATAATATGCAGTTTCGATATCTTCTCATAAGTAAAACGCTTAATAACCCTTTTAGCGTCACCAATGCATGCAAGTTCTAATTGTTGAAATTTAGTGCGAAAATCGTATGCCTGGCCTTCTATCAAATTTTCGAAAGATTTCATGAATGAAAAATAGTTCAAAGGGTCACCATCAAATGATAATGGTCAGCACGAGGAAGTGAAAAGCCTTGCTGCATCGCTTGAGTCAATTTGTATAGATGTTCAGAGAATTGCGTTTCAGCCTTACTCTTTGAATTGTCAACATTTTTGCATGGACTAACCGTTTGATTGGGTCTAGAAACATTTCCCAGAAAATGAACTTTTTCCTGAACTGACATTTCAGGTGATGTAGAATTGAATTCTTCAGGAAACCTATTCTTACATAATCTCCTTTTGACATTTGAGGAACCAACAGCCACAGGCCTCTGAGCATCTCCCAGAGCTGTATTGGCCAAGTCAACAGACTTCCAACCATCACTAGATTCCACATCAGCCATAAGAGCAGCTTCCTTACAATCTTGTTCAAGCCGAAATCTTTGCAATTCAGCAGCTTTTCTCTCTGCTTCTAACAGCTCAGATTCCTGATCAAATTGCTCCAACTTGAGTTGAGCCATCTTTAGATTGTATTCTGCACGCACAGACTCATTAGAAATAACAGAATGAGCTGAACCAGTTGAGCCTGCATCGTCATGCTTAGCAACTGGTGTTCCAGAGGAGATCACATGTTGCATTGCGGTGCAGAATCTTCAGCCATTGTTATATACGATATAGTTTTAAATTCTTTAGTTAAACTTGTACCTCGTTGTTAATTTAATGTTCAGGACAGTGATCATTTAGAACTATCCCACGCCAGACCCCTTGAGATGCCAGCGTTTTCTATTGATAATTTAAGATTTGATGTTGCCTAATTCTCTGGTTTGCCAGTTTGCTGGTTGAAATGCGTTTACCTTGAACTGAAAAACTGACAGCGATGACCCAATCCAGTGAACACACAGAACACAAGTTGTAGAAACGAAAACCAATGCAGCAATGTAATTTCTTTGTAAAGATTGAAGATGGCAAACGGCAATGCAAAATTAGATATCAGTTATTATAGCAAACGATTAACAACGTTCAGCGTACATAGACAACAAAATCTGCAACAATATAAATCATACAACTATAAAGTTTGTCTAATGAAACCCATATAGCCAGAAAACCACAAAATTTAGCATTACTAACCCTAAACTGAGATAAGCGCACTTCACATCGAAAATCCTAGAAAGCAGCTGAGCAAAGCCCCGGATGTAGGACCATAATTCCAAGATCAAAATCAGTATGCCAAAATCAGTAGACCATAAAAAATGCGATATTAGGCTAGCGTGAACAATTACCGTGACAATACGACGTTCCGGTGTTCGTCATCTTGGTTCACATACTACGGGAGTACTCAGCACATTACACATTTCAAACAAATAACATATTTGGACAGCTATACGCACAATTGAGTGAATAGACGTTATTGAGTTATTTTTTATGATTTTATCACAGCATAAAGTACACGTTGCGCAAGTATAATATTCCCGCAACTCAGCAAAATAACTCAATAAAGTTTTTTTTATCTCTCATGCATACATTCATTATATTTTAATGAAAATTTCCGTAGATTGACTTATACACGACTACGTTGTCAACTTTTAACATTTGGCATAATATTCGACGTTTTTGTATATTTTAATACATTTTTTTTCGAATATGCCATAAGTTTTTGAACGCGAAATGGACCCATGGATCGTTTTTTTACTATGTTGTCGTTGATCATCATGTTCTCCTTTTTTGTTCTTGTGAAAAAATCGCTTTTCTTATTGACTGATCGACCAATCGCTTTTAAATTTTTGAGTGGTTGAAGATTGTATTTTTCAAATCTGCTGCGATCGATAAAATAGCGGTAGGCTACTGGAGCAGATTGCATACCGCTAGCATTTCGTGTCCATTAATTTGAGGATCGCCCTCATGTTTTATCAACATATTTCTTTGATTTGTTCTGTCGCTTGATTTCAGCAAGACATTGCATTTCACACGTTGACCATGGTATTTTTATATTATTCTTTTCATTGGAAGAAAGAGTTTATTCAACACTCATGGTGGCCGGATATGATATCACGTTACCTGTCTAGTGTCTACAAATGTGATTGCACACAGACTTCTCTGCTCTTGTCTAAGTTAAAGTTTTTGACAAATCAGACCAGACCTTTGACAGTTTTTTCTCTGGTATATCGATGGTTTTCTATAGAATAAGAATATGTTAACAACTTCATATGCTGTGAAACAACAAATTAAAGTAATCAAAAATACACTTTTTCTACAAGGTCGATTTAAACTGAGAAATTTCTCAAAATCAATGAAGATAGTGTCTGACCTATTTATCAAAATAACACGCGCTTCACGCGAGTTTTTATTTGATTTTTGTTTTCTGTACTTTAGTTGGAGATACTAAAATAAACTACACATACGAGTTACCAAAACGTCATGTAGCCTATATTTACTTCTAAATAGAAGTATATATCACATAACAATTGTTGTTAGACTGTAAAGCAACTGAAGGCAATACAGTAAAGCAAAAACAGTTCGCTGGTTACAAGCTCAAGATGGCGAAAATTCAAACAATAGGATATCATTCTGAAAGAAATTATTTGAGCAAAGAGCTTGGAGCAAATTCATAACGATGGCAGGAGTATTCACTCATGTGAAATATTGTTAAATAATGTTGAAAGAAGTTAGTCCTGTAAAGACATTCGAGTATGTAGTGAAGACACCAACGTTGTGTTAGCCGTGCGTCATAACCAATATAAAATTGGGTCAAGATAGCCCAATAGAGCATCGAATGATGCTACAATACTGTCACAGTCTGAAGATGTTGCTACTATGGTTGTAGATGAGTCAGAAGACTCAAAGGTTTCAGATTGATTGTTTATTGAACGGCAACTCGGCAACAATTACAAGCATATAACAGTCAAACAAAACATCACTAAGAAACTGAGAACACGACCGACCGCCAGGGCAGTGGCCGGAGAAAAAGGGGAAGACACAGTCTTTCTCTCACGTGTAGTGAGTGGTCGGAGTCCAAGATCCAACATAACAGCATCAAACAAGGGTCGACATAACAGTCTATAAACATAAAAATATATATACACACAATATAAATTCGGACACTTCAGTCCGCGACAGAGCCCCTTCCTTGTTCAGAATGAAACTCGACAAGTTTTATTCTAAAAAAACCTCCTTGCTCTAAATGTGAAACAGATATGAAAACTGCGCTAATTTAAATTCAAAAGACCTCAAATATCCAATTTTCAAAAATGTCTGTACCCCACCCCCCTTCAAACTAGAAGCATATTTACCAGGGAAGTTCCAACGTGTCAGCATAAAGGCCGCTGCACACATGCCCGGCAGAGCGGCAGCCGTTTGGGGAATCCCCATTTGAACGTTTTGTCGCCGGCAGCTCCGTGGTGTGATTTCTGCGGTTTCAATACACACTGTATATAGCAATACACATATTCGCGGCCAAGGGCCCAAGTGCCCCACGACTGGGTTTTCGACCGTGTTTTCTTAATTATGATAAGATTTTTTTAGTTGGTATGCATGACACTGTAGCGAATGTGCATTGTGTATAACACAATCATAATGAGTAGTATATATTTACGATCAAAGACATGGCCTGGATGTTTTGTTTAATCCTCAAACACGTTTCTTCCCTTTATAAAATCTATTCAACCGCGTTATTCCACCTCCATTATTATCGGAACCACCACCACTTACAAGTCAAAACAGAGTTCAATGATTTTATAGTAGCCCATACCTCTAGTGAATACCCAGCATTACTAATCATGCATTCTATATTGCCACAGCCCAATCTTAATCTGCGTTGTTTGGTGCATCTATACCCTAACGTAATTGAAACCTTGGCTTCTGAAGTGACAGAATATAAACATGTTAATAACTTCTTAAAACCCATGAACACGAGACTTGGTCCTCACATGTCGGCCAGTCCCTAGGAATCAGCAAACCTCCCAAATCACAATGATGACACGCATTTAATTACATATCACCACGGAATTCCTGAGCCCATCTCTAAATACCATTCATTCAAAGTAATATTAATTAGCTACATACATCCAGTAGCCCATTTGTTCCAGTAAAAAGTTAGTTTTCCTCGAGGAAAATATATTCGTATAAGCTACTGAGAACTATACACTAAACAAGACAACATCACTGTTTCATAATTACATTCCTTATTTCATTTTGCCCAAAACGAAAACGCCACATGAAAATAATAACATTAGAAGCATGACTAAAATATAAGCCATAACTTTAATAAGTCCAATTTTCTTCATTATCTGGTATACAGACAAAATGTGGAGCTACTGGCCCTGTTCCAAAACAGAAACCTCTACCACGATGTCACGAAACATCACAATACTCATAACTTTCATGCATGCTTCTGCTTCAAGTAACGGCCTTGAACGTAACTGAGCTGCCACAAGATTGCCAAAATGCTCAAATTTATCTACATATTTAGTATTCTCCAGCTGCTGGGTGCTTTTTCTCAAAATGTTCACCATCTCCGCCTGAAAATAATATATCATATACTCTCAAAATCTTTCATTCCATCAAATTCTCAACTCCAACGACACTAATGTTGTTAGCTTCGATCAATGTACAGCTACAAGTGTATCAGCTTAAACGGAATCAGGAACACCCAAAA